TACAGTGGAGTTGAAACCATTGAAAAGGACCCTTTGGCATCACAGAGAAATCACCCTAAAACTCTGTCTCTTTGCTCACGTCAAACCACCGTAAAAAGCCAAGATACCACCTGCCAACACCACACTCTCACTGAGATCTGCTCCGGTCTTCCTCTCCGTCACCTCCTCCATATCCCTTTGCTTTGTTTGTGACGTCTCCTCCACCACAACAAAAGAACCTATCTACAACTTCTTCAAAGTATCATCCAGCTTGATAAATTTACCCCAATGATCACCAAGTGCTGAGAAAAAAATTCTTGTGCCACAAGATCAAGTGGCACCTCTTGGAGTTGAACCCAAACAAGATGATTCCATTTGAAATCAAAAGACTCCCAAAGAACTACTTCAGCAATATTGTCCCCGCAACAACTCAAAACTAAAATTGGACAATTCTCAACAAGAAAATCATTATCAACAATAATTAATAGCATCATGTTCCTCAACTCCCTCACTGTAGCCTTTAAATCAAGCTCGATAAATTTGTTCTTCACTTAGCGGATATCAGCAGTGTCGTTAATAGTCACAACAATGTTTCCATACAACCATTGCACATCATCCTCAGGGATTGGAAACTCGAATTCAATTTCCTCACAGGAATCATAACCATTTCTGGTAAATTGCCCTTCTTCCTGATCAAAAGCAGCCTCCTCTGCTTCACTAACATTATTAGCAAATCTAGCACCAATCTCAGTGAGCAACATGCCATTTGAAATAGGCTCAGAAAGATGTTGCTTATCTACAACTTTCTCAATAAGCTCTACTGTAGGATGAGATTCCTTTGCATTGGGTTCTTGATCACTCTAACTTCTGTTTTGAGTATGTGTTCTGGCATTCTGACTACCTATTCTGCTTTAAAAATTCTGTTTTTGATCATGGAAATTCCTTCCGACATTGAAGTTTGTCAGTTACGCCTATTGTCCCTGAAAAAAGGCTTTGGACGCTCCTGTCTCTTATTGTCGACTTGGGCATCTACAGCTCTGTCATACATTCTGCTATTATGCGCATCTCCTCTTCTCATCAAGGTAGAACGTGGTGGGAATCTTCTTCTGGCAGTTGTTTCCAATCTCTATCAACTTTTCTCACAATAGCTTCTCTCACTGTTATAATTCTCCCATCAAACCTCCTCCCATTAATGGCTAAAATATCCTTCTTCATTTCACTGTTAAACCACTATCTTACAAGGGCAAAAAGACAGAGCTCATTCTTCTTCTGCTAGGAACGAAAACATCCACAACTACACCACAATCGTTAAAAAAATCCCATATATCCTTCCTGATAGTTTTTGAACTGAACTTATTGACAAAAATGGTGTGGAGACTAAGCCGCCATCTAAGAGATTTCGTGGCACTCCTTCTATCTGACGAAACTCTTTGTCATGGCCAGCAATCCTCTGCCTGAACTCCCTACCTCTCTCTCTCCTCATCTCTCTTAGTTTGGGGTGATTATTGCTAACAAGGTTTATGATGTTAATATATATATACTACATATTATTTTTGTCCCCTATGGAATTTACTCAAAAACCCTTTCAACTTTTAACCTGGAACAACCTTATCGCCCCATTTTGGTCTTTTCTCAAATGGCTTATTACTTTAAAATCCTTCTAATCTTAACCTTTTTTCTAAAAATACATTGTCTTTTTATGTAATTTTAGAATCTAACTTCAATTAATGGTGTTCCCACCATTTTAAATGCATGATTAATGGTGTTCCCACCTTTTTTAAATTCCATATATGCTAATCTTAATCTATTGACTATTGGGCTTCATGAGGATTCTGTAATTTTATATGTAGCTCATGCATTTTTCCTTCTTCAGCCCATTTTTTCAGTCCATTTTTGTAGGGTCCATTTACGGTTTGCACACAAATATTCAGTTTACATTTAGTACGACCCCTATGATGTATTCTTTGATAATTAGGTGTGTTGGGTTATTAGAGTAAATTGAATTTTCTAAAATTATTAACATACTAAGTGTGTTTTTTATAGACCCTGTTAATTGTTTTTTCAAGACGGTGTTTGCTGAAAGCTCCTTTCAACTTTTCACCTGGGACAACCTTTTCGTCCGGTTCAGTCTTTTATCCATTTGCTAATTACTTAATAATCCTTATGTTCTATATGGTTTGTGTTGGATCATGAAAGTAAATTTCAGTTGTGTTGACTATTTTTTAGATGATTAACTATGTTCACGCATATTAGTGTGTTTTGGACCATATTAACTGTCAAGGAGAAACGATCCTTTCTACACTTACCTATCGTTTTGGGTTTTTTTTAAAAAAAAAAATTAGAAGAGTTATAGTTGTTTTGCTAAAGACCCGTTTTTATTCTATATACATATCTAACTCCATTAATAGTGTGAAAAATATTAGCATGTATTGAACTGTTTATAATGAATGCAAACACTTTTTCTTTTGGCAAAAAAATGCAAGCACTTTTAAACATATTCTATTTCACTTTAAAAAATAAGAAAATGACTGAATAGATTTACAATGCCTCATATCTTACTTTCTGTAATTGTTTATAAAACAAATGCATCAAATAAAAAAAAGTATCTCACATAAAAACATGCCTGTAGCGCAAGCGCATGCTATCCCTCTTATATATACTACATATTATTTTTGTAACCACGTGAAATTACTAAACGCTCCTTCTAACTTTTAACCTGATGCGACCTTATCGCCCCGTTTTAGTCTTTTCTCATATGGCTAATTACTAAAAAATCCTACTAATCCGAGGGTTTTTTACAATTCATTGGCTTTGTATGTAATTTTAGAATTAGAATGTAATTAATAGTTTTCCCACCATTTTTTCCCTTGCATTAATGTTTTAAGCTTAAGTTACTGGTTTTAATGTTTTCCCTTGCCATTATTGTGCATTCATGATGACAGGCCCTTCGGTTTTTATTTTAATTTTCCATTGCCTTTCACCAGTTCAAATTTCTTCCGGAATACGAAGGGCCTGTCATCATGAATGCACAATAATGACAAGGGAAAACATTAAAACCGAGAACTTAAGCCTAAAACATTAATGCAAAAAAATGGTGGGAAAACTATTAATTGCATTCTAATTCTAAAATTACATACAAAGCCAATGAATTGTAAAGAAACCTCTTAGGATTAGTAGGATTTTTTAGTAATTAGTCATGTGAGAAAAGATAAAACGGGGCGATAAGGTCGCACCAGGTTAAAAGCAAATCCACCAGGTAATATATAGCAGCAAGCAACCAGGGTAGTGAAGGAAAACAAGCCACAGCTCCAAGCTTTATGTTTTCAATTTCGGTGTTTATGTTATTCACTTTTTAAATTATAGTAAATGTTTATGGATTTTGTCTTTTCAGTTTATGCATATGTAACTTTTTTTTTTTTATCAAATGCATATGTAACTTTGAAGCGGTTTTTTGAGCAAAAATGTCTATGCTTTTGCAACAATGTACTTACTAGAATGATTCAACAGAATCAAATTCATCCTAAGATCCTCTTTACATTTTACTCGAGCATAGCTCGTATCAATCAATTTTTTGGATTAAAAATTTGCTACTCAACGTTTTCTACTCCTTTATATTACCAAACTGTTACTACTCCTCAACAACACCAAACTACACCAAACTGAAGGCAATTCATATAAAAGCAACATTTAACAATTCAAATTTCAAAATGCTTGACGCGCTAGCGCGAGCTACCCCTCTCGTTTTAATTATTTTAGTAACTTCTTAATCTTTAATATATATATATATATATCTTAATTTTTAATTTTCAATAATAAAACTACGGGTTTAAATTCTATTAGAATCATTCTAAAAAGAGGTATTTTTAGGATTCCATTAGGACGGTGCCACCTAATCAAATTTGAATCATCATCAAATCCTAATTTACACCCTATCACACCTAATTAATTTTTTATCAATTACCTTAACCTAATCTTAATCTTAGTTAAATAAGTTTTTGTTAAAAAATTTATTTTTCTCATGACTCATAATTTGGATATGTTCTAAACCAATTAAATTAATTTGTCACTAGTAAAGGAAAAAAATATGTTTCACATCCAAAGCCAATCTTATGTGAAAAAAAAAAAGTCACGTTATAAGGTAAAAAAAAAATTTATTTAAAAAATTATTAAAAAAAGTAACGTTGCAAGTAAAAAAAAGTAAGTTAAAAATAAAATAAAATAAAATAAATATATTAATAAAATTATTCAATTTTAACTATGGTTAAGATTAGGTTAAGGTAATTAATAAAGATTTAATTAGGTGATGATGATTCAAATTTGATTAGGTGGCATCATCCTAATGGAATTTTAAAATCACCATTTTTAGGATGATCCTAATAGAATTTAAACTAAAAAACTATTCCTGATTTGATCGTGGATCATCTATACTAATTATAATGTGAGAATCTGAGTTTGTCTCACGAGTTGATTCGGAAACAAACACGGTTCTCAAAAGATTTATAAACCAAAAATAAAACAACCCATTTGAAAGAAAACTACTCAATGAAAGGTAAATATGATATTTAACTTATATTTTTATATAATTAAAAAAAACTGCTTTTGGGTCACTACGTGTAAACTGGATTAAAATCATGGGAAATTTTCTCTGTTTTCTCTCTCTCCACCAGTGAGAGTTCTCCCCTTCCAGCAGTGAAGGCTTCCTCTTGTCATCAGTATAAGCTTCATCACATTAACCATATTTTCTTCTTCCATTTTTTTCATAACAACCTCATCTTATCCCGTTTCCATTGGCTCCAAAAATTTAAATTCCCAATTGCAATCCGAATCAATTCTAATCTTTCTCAGATCTCATCTTCACTTTTCGGTTTAAAATTCAAATCTTACCCTCTCCCAATGGATTTATTAAGGATCTCCTAGCAATATTTTTGTACTGGTATTGTTGGCTCTAGTGGCTATTCTTCTTACTGCTTTCATTGCTTCTCTGTGGCAATTTTCTTGTTTGTTCCTTGTTGCTCTTCTATATGGCGGGTACGCTTTCCAACCTTTGCTCTAAAATGTCCTTGCAAGAGGAGGATAACCAAGAGAGGGTTATTATTGATCAAGAATGGATTGACGAACCGGAAGGAGCTTTGGCATGGTTTTGTCTCATTGGCAAGTCGTTGGCCAAGAAGCAACCCAACCTAGAAGCTTTGAAGGCGGTGATGAGCAAGGCCTGGAATATTGAATCAGATTTCCAAGTTGAGGAGGTTGGTGACCGTTTGTTTTTTTCTAGTTTGAGGATGAATTGGAAAAAGATCGGGCTTATGTGAATCAACCTTGGTCGTTTAATAAGGCTTTATTGGCGCTGAACGAGTGTGGTGGATTCAATCACCGGAGTCTGTCCAATTTGAAGTATGTCCCTTTTGGCTTCGTATTTATGGCCTTCCTCTTAACATGATGAATGAAAAAATAGGAATTGTGGTTGGGGAGACTGTTGACCTGCTTTAGAATTTGATGAAGATTGGGGTCGGTATTTAAGAGTTCGTGTTCAGATGAATTTGAGTCACTCTCTCAAAGCTGGTACTTTAGTTACTGCTCCAAATGAGGAATTGTATGTCGATTTCCGATATGAAAAGTTACCCGACTATTGTTGGGTGTGTGGCCTTCTCGACCATCTGGATAATGATTGTCCGGTGACAGTTATGTTGAGGAAAAATCATCAGGTTGTGAAGAAGAAGTACACTTGCAGTCTCAAAGCTGAATTTCCTCCAGTTACTCCGGCTAAGGAACCTGCTTCGAGTCACAGGAGAGGGGGATCAGCGGCATCAGTCTCACCTGTTTTGAGAACTGGAAGAGAGGTGGGTAATATTGGACCAGCGGGGAGTAAGTCAGTCCCTTTTAAGTCCATCACCGGAGATGGGCCGGTGAGAAATCATGTTGACAACCCTGCATTGTATGGCAGACGAGCGGCGCGTGCTCTACAATTTGATGAAGCTTTGTGTGAGATTATTTCCCGTATGAATGGGATTCCGGTTAGGCAGCAACCGAATTTGAAGGAGAATCAGGGCCAACGTCAGCAACGTGGGAATGGAGGAAACGTGGATGTTGGTTTGTCGGTTGACTCCGCAAGAAGAGGAATTTTAAGTAAGATGGGTGCGGTTTCAAAGGAAAATTTGTTGGTAGAAGGAGAAGGGGAGTCTCGTGGGTTGGCGGTGGTTAATGATGTGGAGAGTTCTAATAACTCTCAATATCCTGATGATTATATTCCTCTAATTGATAATAGGGGGTGTGGGTCTTTTATTGGGGCTGAAATTATAGGTGCGCAATCCATCCAAGGTGTTGGGCTTTCATATATTGGCCCAATATCAGGTGCAGTTTGATCCAAGAGTATGGGTTTGCAAGCTGAACTTCAGGGGAGAGCTAATGTAATATCAGGTTCAACTGGGGTTGCTCGTCAATAGAGAGCAAACAATGTTCAGCAGGGAGACGAGCCTTATGATCCGGATGCCCCCTATGTCTTTTGTGCAGAAGCTTCAGAGGGTAGGAAAATTCGAAAATGGAAGAAGACAGCCAGCACAGCTCAGTCGGCTTCTGTTGATTTGCTCTGCCATGAGACCATAGGAAGCGTTGGTTAGAAGAGGGCAACAGGATTCATTACTACGCAATACTTTTCGGTTTGAGGGAAGGTGAAACGTTTTAGGGAAGCTGATATGGATTTTTCAGGTGTTGCTGATCTTCGAGAGGATGAAGCTGACTCAGGGATTAGGAAGCATGTTGGATTGCCTAATGATAATGTAGTGGTGGGGGTGGCAGGCAGCCATCTCTGCCAAGCACCATGAGTTGTTTAGTTTGGAACTGGTCTAGGGGCCCCTCGTTCAGTTCATTATTTAGCAAATTAAATAAATTGTAATAAACCCCGTTTTGTTTTCCTTTCTGAAACCAAACGTAGTAGTAATCAAATGGAATGGATTAAAGTCCGTTTGGGCTATGATTGTTGTTTTGCTGTTGATAGTAGAGGTAGATCAGGAGGTCTTGCTTTGTTGTGGATGTATGAAGATTGTATTTCGTTATTGTCTTATTCTTTTTACCACATTGATGTTGCTATTAGTTCTGATATGGCAACACAATGGCGCTTTACAGGGTTCTATGGTAGACCTGAAACATCTAGGAGACATGAATCTTGGTCTCTGCTAAGGAATTTACGGGATCAATATTCTCTGCCCTGGTTATGTGCTGGGGATTTTAATGAGTTAACATCTAATTTGGAGAAAGAATGAGGTAGGGTGAGATCCACTAGACAAATGGAGTTATTTAATGAGGTTATTGGTGACTGTAATTTTAGGGAATTGCCTGTGCAAGGTCATTTGATGACTTGGTGTCGTAATCAAAATGGTGAATTATTGTTTGAAAGGTTGGACAGAAGTATGGCTAATCCGGCTTGGTGGGATCGATTGGATATTCTATTGAGAAGCATCTGGTTATTTCAAAATCTGATCATCTTCCTTTATTGTTGTTAATATCAGACCGGCATGTACCCTCTCGATATCGAAAGAGACCTTTCAAATATGAGCAAATGTGGGCTGCTCATGAGTCATTTGATGAGGTTATTTCACAAGCTTGGTCGTCGGGTGATATTGGTATTGTTGACAAGATTTCTTCTTGTAGTAAGGCTTGGATATTTGGAATGAGACAACGTTTGGTAATTTGCAGCACAATATTAGGGTGAAAAAGAAAGAATTTGAGAATCTTTATTCCTTGTGCTGTAGGGGTAATCAAGCTGATTTTTCTAAGTGTAAGGTGGAGTTGGAAGAGCTATTACACCAAGAGGAATTACTTTGGCGCCAGAGATAAAAAATTCAATGGTTGAGAGAAGGTGATAAGAACACTAAGTTTCTTCATGCAGTAGCCTCATCACGTAAAAGCAAGAAGGTTATTGATCGAATTGAAGACGATGCTGGTGTTGTGTGTGAAGAACCATCAGGTATTGAGAATATTTTTAATAATTATTTTAAAGATATTTTCACATCCTCGCATCCGACCCAATGCAATATTCAAGCTGTTCTTAATCATTTGGAGTGCCGAGTTACAGAGGAGATGTGCGTCCATTTAGAGGAAAAATTTACTGTCGATGAAGTGCAACAAGCAGTATTCCAAATGTCAGGCTCGAAAGCTCCAGGCCCGGATGGATTATCACCCGCGTTTTTCCAGCGTTGTTGGAAGGTTGTTGGTGTTGATGTTACGGATTTTGTGCTTGATTTTTTGAATAATGGTTCTCCTCTTCCAAATGTGAATCATACAAATATCGTTCTCATTCCAAAATTAGATTCTCCTCATTTTGCTAAGGACTATCGACCGATAAGTCTGTGCAATGTCATCTTCAAAATTGTTTCGAAAGTTCTTGCTAATAGATTGAAGGCTATTCTTCCGGAATTAATTGGAGAGAATCAAAGTGCCTTCGTGCCCAAGCGAATGATATATGATAACGCGATGATAGCTTTCGAAACTATCCATTTTATGAGAAATAAAAGATGAGGGCGAAAGAATCACATGGCTTTGAAACTGGACCTTAGCAAGGCCTATGATCGTGTGGAATGGAGTTTCTTGCGTGAATCAATGCGTGTTATGGGTTTCCCTGATCGGTGGATTTCGTTGGTCATGGAGTGTGTTGAAACTGTTTCCTATTCAGTACTGGTGAATGAAAATCAAACAGAGACTTTGCACCCGACGAGAGGCATAAGACAAGGTGACCCTTTATCGCCTTACTTATTTCTCTTATGTATGGAGGGTCTATCTTCCATGTTTTCTTCTGCTAGCAGGTCAGGTTCTATCCATGGTATCTCTATCTCAAGATCTGCTCCAAAAGTTTCTCATTTATTCTTTGCAGACGATAGCATTTTATTTTTACAGGCGTCTAGGAAAGAATGTGAGGCAATGATTTCTCTACTTAATTTATTTGAAGCTGTCTCTGGTCAGAAAATTAATATTGACAAGTTCTCGTTTTTATTTAGTGCAAACACACCGGTGGCTATTCAGAATGAGGTGAAGAGTTATCTTGGAATCCAACGGATTTTAGATAGAGATAAATACTTAGGTCTCCCTATTATGATTGGGCGGTCTAAATCTAGGGAATTCCAATTTATTAAGGATAGATTGAAGAAGAGAATTTCTAGCTGGAATTCGAGATTGTTTTTGAGAGCAGGGAAGGTTGTAATGCTCCAATCGGTAGCCCAAGCGATTCCAGTGTATCTTATGAGTGTTTTCCAATTTCCCAAATCTTTTGTGCAAGAATTAAATTCGATGATTGCAGGATATTGGTGGGGAGATTCTTCAAGAAAAAACAAAATTCATTGGAAAAATTGGGAAACGATGTGAAAATCAAAGCTGGATGGGGGTTTGGGGTTTAGGGATTTCGAAGCTTTTAATCTCGGATTGCTAGCTAAACAAGGTTGGAGATTGATTCAGAGTCCGGATAACTTGTGTGCTCGAGTTCTTCGAGCTAAGTACTTCGAGGTGACTTCCTACATGTTTCATTGGGGTCAAATCCTTCTTTTCTTTGGCGTAGTTTGCTGGCAGGTCGAAAGGTCATTATTGCAGAATCTCGTTTCCGAGTAGGGGAGGGGAATTTGGATATTTGGAATGATAGGTGGATTGCCAAACCACTTTCTTTTCGGCCCTCTCCTAGGATTGCGTCTATTGTACCTGATTTGAAGGTCTCGGATCTAATTGATGGAGATAATAGAATGTGGCGAATTGATTTGGTCAGTGACTTATTTGAGGAGGAGGATGCTTCTCGCATTTTGGGGTTGGCAATACTGAGACATCCAGTTTGTGATTGCTTAATTTGGAATGCCAATAGGATGGGGGATTTCTCGGTTAAATCTGCTTATTATGTGGCAAGAGATGTGCTGCAACGAGCTGATTCACTTCAAGGACCTCGGCAGCAGACTTGGAAACTAGTCTGGTCTTCGCATATCATGCCTAAAATTCTTTTCTTTACATGGCGGTTGATATGGAATATTTTGCTGACAAAAGGTAATCTTCTCTCTCGGGGTTTGGATGTTCCACAATTGTATGAAGTATGTGGGGAGCAGCCAGAATCGGTTTTCCATTTCTTCTTCAGATGCAAATTTAGCGAGTTGGTATGGGACCGAGTTGGTCATTGGGTTAATCCGACTCTTGATCAATGGAATTCTGATGGAGATTGGTGGGATTTCTTCATAGCAAAAGCGGCTTCAATTGGTCAGATTGATAAGGTTCTAATTACCTTGTGGCTAATTTGGAATAATCGAAATAAAGCTTTGTATGAACAGGCTTCTGCCCTACCAAATGCCATTAATTTTTCGACTTCCTCTATTTTGGAGCAGTATACTTCTATTCAAAGGAGAACAGACCAGTTCTCTTTGACTCATCCTCGGCAACTGACTTGGGTTCCTCCTCCAATGGGGATGGTTAAGATTAATACTGATGCTGCTTTTTGCAGTGGATCAGGGGAAGTAGGATTGGGAGTAGTCATCCGAGATAGCGCTGGCGAGATCATTGTTTGTGCCTCTCGTTGCCTCAACTTCATTGCGGATTCTTTGTATGCAGAAGTACATGCATTACTTTTTGGGTTTAAACTTGCTTTTGAATATGGGATTGAAAGTTGCATTTTTGAAAGCGATTCTTTGCTGGCTATCACCCAAATTAATAAGACGGATCCTGTCTTTTGGTAAGGGGGTCATCTTATTGAGGAAATTAGAGATTTAGCTACCTTATTTGATGTTTGTACTTTTCAATTTGTTCATAGGGAAGCTAATACTGTAGCACATAATCTCGCTAATTTGTGGCAGGATTGTGTGTGGTGCGGGACTTTTCCTCCCGGCGTTTTGTAATCTCTATTTTTTTAATGAAAAGCGATAAATTCATCAAAAAAAATAACATAAACTATGTTGCGATAAGCCTAAAATAATAAACAAGAACAAGAAGATTTTACGTGGTTCGATCAATTTGATCTAAGTCCATGGGCAGAGAGAGATTCTTATTTATTTTGGGGAAAACGATACAACATGTCAAGAATACAAGATATAGACCCCTTATATAAACATAGGGTATTTAGTTCCTATTATAACTAGGAGAACTAATCCATATCGCGGGGGCTTCACCCCCCGCACCCCCTACGCCTATTCTGCGTCTTCCCCGCATGAGTTCGGCCCGATCCCTCCGCTTCAATCACAGACCTCTTGGGAAAATCCACAAAATATCGGGTCGGATCACAATTCGAGCTGGGTTAACAAGAATTTCAAGCACAAATAACAAACTATGTTTTTATTATTTTATCTTCGTATATACTCACATATATAGTAGTGAGTGTCCTGTGTCTTGTATATATTAATGAGAGTATTAACATAAAAATATGAATTAAAATGTGTTTTGATATATGATGAGTGCTGTTAGAAAATTTCTGAAAAAAGAAAAACAAGACTTTGAGGAGTCATGCATTCTCAAATACAATAATATTGTTTGACTATTTCAAATTAGTTGTATTTGAGATATAACCAAACCACTTAAGAACATTTAGAAAGAAGTAGAATTATTGGTTAAGGTTTTAAAGGGAGAAACACGTTCTTATTTATAGAATGTGATCAGAGATATCTTTTCGAGGTAATTGTTCGTCAACAGATATCTATTAAACTTGAAAAACCGTATTTACAGTTTCACAATTTATTATATTCAAAAATTTAAGACTTAGCAAAAATTCTAACTCATTCAAGAGGCCAAGGCCCAAGTGTCCCAAGTGCCCATCGTTTGACTAATAATATTAGTCTATTAACTAGGCCCATTAGCAGGATAATCAAACCCAAATGACTTAAAACTCTCACTTGGCCCATATTATCCAAATATCATTCTTTCTTGACCTTGATAAAGCACTTGCTTTTATATTTCCTTAACAATTATATTTCCTTAGCAATGTGGGATAAATAGCCTCAAAAAACAACATGCTATATAAAAAGTGCTACATTCTCAAAACTAGCCTACATATGTATATCAAAAGAAAATCTAACATATATGCGAAAGATTATTCATTGGGGTTTAATTTGTCATAAATCACGAGTTAGATCGAGATAATGACTTTTTTTTTTTACTAATTATCCCGAATATGATAATCATATTGAAATTTTGGATTCTAACCGTTGATATATCTTTCTTCTAACACGATTTGATGATATTCATATATGTAACCTTGTAATAAAATGCCCGAGAATTTGGAAAATGGATATGGTTTCACGTAAAGCTTCATATACTTTATAGTAGTTGTTGAGATCTTGCATGGCAAACCCTAAAGATTTGCCCTATTATCTCAAAGATTGTGTAACACGTGGCTTAAGATTATAAGCTAGATAGATGGAAAAGATTATGTGTAAAGGGGTTACTCAAAAATATTGCTGGCCAAATTGGTAAGCTACTAATCCCCACGTGGGCCAATAAGAAATATCCACGTATATTATTAGATGAGAAGTTTTGACTTAGCCAACAGAGTGGATTATATTATTAATATATATATATATATATATATATATATATTTC